GCCTCCCTATTTCCTGAGGCCCAACAATATTGAAATTAGACCAATTAATTACCTAAGAACTGTCTCTAAGTATTCAAGTGAGGGGAAAATCACACATCTCTCACTTTAAGTAAAAGTAATAAATGATTAGGTTTAGAAGGCATGTCAAAAGCTGAGATAGGACAAAAGCTAGACCTCTGCCCCAAATGGTTAGCTAAGCTATGAAAGTAAATGAAAAGTTCTTGAGGGAAATTAAAAGTGCTACTCCAGTGAACACACAAATAATAAGAAAGCAAAACAGCTTTATTGCTTATATGGAGGAAGTTTTAATGGTCTACATAGATCAAACCAGCCACAATATTCCTTTAAACCAAAGCCTAATTCAGAGAAAGGCCCTAACTCTCTTTAATTCTGTGAAGGCTGAGACAGGTGAGGAAGCTGAAGAAGAAAAGTTTGAAGCTAACAGAGGTTGGTATATGAGGTTTAAGGAAAGAAGCTATATCCATAACATAAAAGCACGAAGTGAAGCAACAAGTGCTGATACAGAAGCTGCAGCAAGTTATCCAGATCTAGCCGAAGAAAAGTTTGAAGCTAACAGAGGTTGGTATATGAGGTTTAAGGAAAGAAGGAAAGAAGCTATATCCATAACATAAAAGCACAAAGTGAAGCAACAAGTGCTGATACAGAAGCTTCAGCAAGTTATCCAGATCTAGCCAAGATAATTAATAAAGATTGCTACGTTAAACATTAAATTTTCAATGTAGATGAAACAGCTTTATCATATTAGAAGAAGATGCTATCTAGGACATTCATAGCTAGAGAAGAGAACTTAATGCCTGACTTCAGAGCTTGAAAGGATAAGCTGATTCTCTTGCTAGTGGATAATGCAGCTGGTGACTTTAAGTTGAAACCAATGTTCATTTGCTATTTCAAAAATCCTCGGCCCCTTAAAATTATGCTAAAACTACTCTGCCTGTGCTCTATGGGTAAAACAGCAAAGCCTGGATGACAATACATCTGTTTACAACATGGTTTACTGAATACTGTAAGCCCACTGTTGAGACCTAGTGCTCAGAAAAAAGATTTCTTTCAAAATATTACTGCTTATTAACAATTCACCTGGTCACCCAAGACCTGTGATGGAGATATACAAGATTCATGTTGTTTTCATGCCTACTAACACAACATCCATTCTGCAGCCCTTGGAACAAGGAGTGATTTCAGCTTTCAAGTCTTATTATTTAAGAAATACATTTTGTAGGGCTATACCTGCCATAGATAATGATTCCTCTGAAGGATTTGGGTAAAGTAAACTGAAAATGTTTTGGAAAGGATTCACCATTCTTTATGCCATTAAGAACATTTGTGATTCATGGAAAGAGATAAAATATCAATATTCACAGGAGTTTGGAAGAAATTGATTCCAGTCCTCATGGATGACTTTTGAGTGGTTCAAGACTTCAGTGGAGGAAGTAACTGCAGATGTGGTGGAAATAACAAGAGAATTAAAATGAAACATGACCCTAAAGATGTGATTAATTTGCTGCAATCCCGTGATAAAACTTTAAATGATGAGAAGTTGGTTCTTACTGATGAGCAAAGTGGTTTCTTGAAATGGAATCTACTCTTGGTGAAGATGCTATGAAGATTATTGACATAACAAAAAAAACAGCATTCAGAATATGACATAAACTTGGTTGTTAAAACAGTGGCAGGGTTTGAGAGACTTGACTCCAATTTTGAAAGTGCTACTGTGGGTAAATGCTACAAACAGCGCTGCATGTTAGAGAGAAATTATTCATACAAGGAAGAGTAAATCAATGTGGCAAACTTCATTGTTGTCTTCTTTTAAGAACTTGCCTCAGCCACCTTGACTTTCACCAACCACCACCCTGAGCAGTCAGTAGCCATCAACAGCTGAAGGTTAGCATGTTTTATCAATAAAGTAATTTTAACTAAGGCATGCTCATTGTGCTTTTGGGCATAATGCTACTGAACACTTAATAAACTGTAGTATAGTGTAAACAACTTTTATATGCACTGGGAAACCAAAAATTTCAAGACATCGCTTGATTGCTATATGAGCTTGATTGCTACATTCTCTTTATTTTGTTGATCTAGAACTGAACACAGAATATCTCTGAGGAATGCCTGTAATGGCAAACCGATTCTAAAGTTTATGTGGGAAGGCAAGAGACTCTGAAAACACAACATAATACTGAAGAAGAAGAATAAAATCAGAAAACTGACACTATCTGATATCAAGACTTACTCTAAACCACAGTAATCAAGAAAGTGTGATATTGGTTTATGAATAGACACATAGATCAATGAAGCAGAATAAAGAGCACCAAAATTTACCCACGCACATAGGCAACTGATCTTTGACAAAAGATCAAAGGTAGTGGAGATAGAATGGTCTTTCCAACCAGTGGTGCTGGAACAACTGAACATCCACATGTAAAAAAATGAATATAGATTTTACACCTTTCCCAAAAACAAACTCAAAATGGATCATTGACCTAAATGTAAATGCCAAACTATTAAAATTTTAGAAGATAACATAGGAGAAATTCTAAGTGACCTTCTGTTTGGCAATGTTTTTTTGATATAACAACAAAAGCACAATATAGAAATGAAAATAATTGATAAGTTCTACCTTACTAAAATTAAGACTTCTGCTCTGCAAAATACACTAAAAAGAGAATGGAATGTCAAGCCACAGACTGAGACAACATATTTGAAAACATATCTGATAAAAGACTTGTAATCCAAAATATACAAAGAACCTTTAAAATAGCAACTCAATTAAAAGTTGGTGCAAAGATCTAAACAGTCATCTCACAAAAGAAGATGTACAGATGGCAAATAAGCATACAAAAATATGCTCAGCTTCACATGGCATTAGGGAATTGCAAGTTAAAAATTTGAGAAACCACGTATTAGAATGGTTACATCCAGAACACTGACAACACCAAATCCTGACAAAGTTGTAGAGGAACAGTAACTTCCATTCATTGTTGGTGGTAATGCAAAATGGTTTAGCCACTTTGAAGATAGTTTGGTAGTTTCTTAAAAAGCTAACCATAGGCTTACCTTATGATCAGCAAAATTATACTCCCAGGTATTTAGCCAAATAAGTTGAAAATTAATGTCCACACAAAAACCAGCCCACACACATTTATACTAACTTTACTCATAATTGCCAAGAACTGGAAGCAACCAAGAAGTCTTCAATAGGTGAACAGGTAAGCAAACTGTGACACATCCATACAATGGAATATTACTCAGTAATAAAAAGAAATGAGCTATCAAGTCACAAAAAGACAAGGAGGAAATAAATGCATATTATTAAGTGAAGGAAAACAGTCTGAAATGGCTACAAACTGTGTTTCAAACCATATGGCATTCTAGAAAAGGCAAAACTATAGAGACATTAAAACCATCAGTAGTGTCCTAAGGAGAAGCGGGATGAATAGGTGCAACAAAGGATTTTCAGAACAGTGAAACTAATTCTGTATGACACTGTAATACTATATGATATTATACATTTGTCAAAATCCATAAAACTACAACACAAAGAGTGAACTGTGGTGTAAACTATCGATTTTAGTCAGTAATAGAGCAATACTGGCTCAACAATTGTAACAAATATCTAATACTAATTAAGATCTTAATAATGGGAGAAACTATGTGAGTGTGTATACTGGGAGGAGGTGGGGCAGTGAGAACTACCCATACTATCTGCTCAACTTTTCTGTAAACCTAAAATTGCTCTAAAAATAAAATCTACTAATTATTTTTAAAGCTGGATATATTCTTTTATTATTTCTAAAAAAAAATATCGAGTTAATTCTGGGTGTTCTGTTAGAAAGTGATACAACTGTGACTAAAGATAGTTTTATTTCTTTACAGATCCTTATATCTTTTATTCTCTTTTATTACCTTACAACTATAAGTAGTTGCACAATGTTATTGGATGGAGATAGAGATAGCAGGTATTTTTTGTTGTTTCACTTAACGATTTTTTTCCGAACATCTCATGTTACAGTTGTCATATTATATGTGAAATACATAATGAAGCTGTAATTTTTGTTTTTGTAGATGCCATTTTTCTGATTAAGTATCTTTCTTTGCTTTGATTCCTAGTTATCATAAATGGAGGTTAAATTTTCTTGAACGCATTTTTGTATCTGTTAAGGTGATCATATAAAGAATTTCCTTTAATACTCCATATTACTCTCAAGACAGAAGGGAGGCCAGCCCTGGTTTTCTAAGTTGGGTTGAATAAACATGGTTTACATTTCTCTTGCATCCTGTTCCTTCTCTTTCAAAACAGGCATCACCACATTTATATGATTGTTAAACTTCTCCACGTGACTGTAAATTCCATGAGGATGGATGGAATCCCTATGTTTTATTTATTGTAATATCCCCAGTAACTAGCACTGTTCTTTGTCCAAACTGGTACTCAATAAAACGTCGTTCAATCAGTTAATGAATGAATATGAACTAGCAGCGATTGCTACTCCAGATTGGAAGATACTCTCATCCCTTAAGCATGCTTCATTGAAGACAAGAAAGGATGATCCATTTGCATTGTTGTAAAAAGATAAAAAGTTAAATGGTTGCTCTGATACCAAAAGTTAGTTAATAATTCAAAGATATATTGTTTAAATTGCAATTATTTATATACTTTATTATTTTATAATTTTTTAGATTATAAATACTTGATAAAGAATGTTGTGTGTTAGAATACTCATCTGAAAGTCTTTCAGAATGTTAACATTTATTCAAGAAGCTGGAAGGTCTAGCTTACAAAAGTATTTCAAGGAATGTCTGTCTACAGGGTCCCCAAATGGACAATTTATTCTCTTCTCAATTGCAATTTTTTTTTATGTTAACATTACATCACTATATGTTACCATGTAGTCAGTGTGCATAAGATCTCAAACAAAATGTCGAAATACATAGTTGTGAAAAATTGAAAAGAAACAGTAATTCATCATTAGCTCTTTTACCTGTAAGTGATGTGCTTGTGCTGCCACTTCTGTCCTGTTAACGCATACCGCTTTCGACGAATATTAAATTTGGAGCTACCTCTTGTCTGGTCAGGTACACCACATCGAGGCTTCTTCATCCAGCTGCAAAAAGCAATATTTCCCAGTTATTTACCAACAACGCTAATCATTAATTTCAAAGAGAAATCCATTGAGAAGTTATGGCAGTGGTAATAAAAACGGGAAAACATAAAGGAGAATTTTGTCAGTTTTCTTGCAATTTGAATCTAAGTATTGTAGAAAACATTTTTTTTTTCTGGAATGATCAAGAATCACTAGTTTATAACTCATATCCTTTAGATAACTTTTCTTTCTAATTCATTTTGAGCTAACTGTAAACTAAGGTATTCTGATGCTTCTAACTAGAATCTGCTGTTAACAGATATATGATCTTGGGAAAGTCTCATTCAGAAAATGAGACTTTTTAAAATAAATTTTCACTAAGGTCTCTTTCAGCTTTAACATTCAACAATTTTTAAAATCTATTACATGACCTAAACTCCAGAAATCAAGAAGATATATGCTACTCTCTTCTAGCTTAAATAGAAGGAAATTGTTGTTTAGAATAACATTTGCCTTTCTCCACTTTTTTCTTCTTTACACTTTAAGCATTATCCCAATTTTCAAATAGCAGCCATTCTCTTTGAACCTTTAATAGTAACTGAATTCACTGCTTAAGAAATTTATTTCTGAATGTAATGTTTAGTATGACACCAGTAAAATTTAAATATTAACATTGGGAAAATAAAATGCTGGTTTTGATTTATTGATTTTTAATACTTATATAGATATAGTTGTCTAAATTTTTTTCTAGAGAGTCTCATTTGACCATTGTCATGTTTTCTATGTAGTCTTGCTTCTTGTCTAAGGAGAAAGATTGACATGATTTTTATTAGTTTTTCTTTAGTGACTCAAAATGGCTTTATCATCCATTAGCCCATTTAATTTAACAATTACAGAACTGAAGCAGAATCTTCATAGCATTACAGGCTTCAGAAAGTGGAAATGAGCAAAATAATTAATTTTTGTTATATTTCATCAAATAATTTCTATACTCTTTAAATGGAAAATAATTGACTGCAGAGATGACTGTCTAAAGATGTCCATTTCATGAAAATGACTGAAATAGTTTACATATTACATGGATAAATCAGCTAACTAGCTTTTATAAACATAAGAATAACATCATGCAACAATGAAAGCATGACTTTTACTTTTTAAGAAAGAAAACACTTTTCTGATAAGCATTATATGTTTCTCCTTTTTTATTCTCCTACCAGCAAAAATGTAGACATTGCAGTTAACAGACTTAACAAACTCCATCCTAGTTTATGATGCATTGTAGAGTTACTTCAGGAAATCACTCTTTCCCTTTATTAAAGTCTCCAAACCAAATGAGATGTCTTGTAAATGCTAATGCCTAGAAAGTTATACAGACCTATGGAACTGAAGTCTCTGGAGCCAAGAATTGAGATTTTTTTACTTTTAACTAAAACTCCCAGGCCACTCTGAATTAGCAATCCCCAACCTTTTATGGCACCAGGGACCAGTTTCACAGAAGACAATTTTTCCATGGCGGGGGGTATGGTTCAGTTGGTAATGCAAATGATAAGGAGAAATGGGGAGTGGCAGATGAAGCTTCGCTCGATAGCCACCACTCACCTCCTGCTGTGCGGCTCTGTTCCTAACAGTCCGTGGCCTGTGGGGTTGGGGACTCCTGCTCTAAATCACTAAGTTTGAGATATATTTCACTAGAGTGTAAAACACTCAAGGGCAGGGGATCTACATACTCCCTGTACCTGTACAACCTCTAAAATTTAAAAGAGGCTTAATAAATAGGTGGATAGGGACATTTTTTAATGAAAACATATTTTTATTATATTCTGTAAGATCTAGATACATATTCAACTAACAAATATTAAGCATTAATGGTTAATATTAATTAATTAATGATAATTTAAGTGGCTTTTATCAATGGCTATTTCATTAATCATACTCTCAACAAAAATTATATTTCTTAACCAAGTACTTATTCTGACATCTCCCTGAAAGTGCTGTGAGAATAAATAATTATTAAATATGAATAAATTTACTTAATGTTGATGTGATTACACTTACATTTAGCTAAAGAAAATATTGAAGTAAACACTCTAGGGAAAGAAATAATTTTGAAATGGATTGTGGGATAAAATTTGACAATTTGTATTTATCCTGATACATTATCAGATGAAATATGTTTTCAATGAGGATATATTCTCTAAAATTACTTTAACAATACATAAAGTTAAAAGATGAAGACAGCCATTGAAAACATTTAAATTTACTAATGTAAATTTCCATTTTAAGTTGTGCATATGTTGGACCTAGTAAAAGTTTTCTCAATGAAACATTGCATCTTCCAAAGGACAGGGCTTTTAGGGATGAGTATTAGATTCCTATGCTGAAACATATTTCTGCTAAATTCCTTATGTATTTCTTCAGCTTTTGCCCATTTCATATAATTCTTTCTTATGTTCCAACTATTTGTTTATATATTTACTCATTCTATCCTGATCCATTTATCTTACAATATTTTTAGGCTTTTATAATACGCTGAGATATATGAAAAAAAAGTGTGTATAAAAGATAAGGTAAGGGGTTCTTGCTGAGTTCCAGTCTAAGGTAAGACATTCATGATAAAAACAAAAAACAAAAAACAAAAAAACAATATAATTAGTTAAGTCTTCTCACATCTACATCTAGCTATCTTGTCATCATTTCTAATTTTACATGTAATTTAAAATTATGATTTTTCAGCTCCAAACTTGCACCAATTCTTCTGATACCTTATCTCAGCTCAAAGTCTTTCTAATGCCTAAGCCAGGTATCCAGGTAACATCTTCCACTGATCTCTCTTCACATCCAATCAATCATGATGTAGTATCTTCTGCCTTTAAAACTTCTCTGTATCTCTTACTCTCAACAGTGCCTTCTCACTCCTAAAGATAAATCTTTTCAAAACACTGATGTATTTACTATACATTCTAAGTATGAAATTCTTTTATAGACAGAATCTTATTCAGGCATACTTAGCAAGGATGCCCCCCATCTCCCTGCTTCCCAAGATCCACACAAGTTCTACAGAAACAAACCTCTTTCTGCCTTTGTATACAGTGAACTCTGGAATACTTTTGCCTCCTTATTTACAATGACAATCCTAATCCTCCTCATTATTCAACTCCCACAGGTACAGTTTACCATCTCAACACAGCATGTATTATAGTGTATATTACAATGTGTACATCTCTGTCTCTGTCTTCTACTAACCTGCGAGTCAAACCAGAGAGGCCTGTATGGGACCGGTGCCCAGGGAAGCTTCCAGTGAAGAACATGAAGCAAATGAACTGTCTTCATGCATTATTTTTTGCACATACCGATCTCCCTCACTATCCTATATGTTTCTTGAGGACTTTGTAACTCTTACAGCTCTGTGCCTTGAACAAATGCTTACTATGCAGAGAGATGTTGTGTGAAACTTTATATAAAATTAAATCATAATGTAGATGACTTAAGTGTAAGAAATAAACATAAGAACAGGCATGAGGTAATATAAACTAGTAATTTAATTCAAAGAACACTTAATGAGGGTTGGTCAAGATAGCTCTATGTTAATTTCACCAATATATGTACCCAAATATTCTGGCACAGAGATATTAGCAGGTATTAATTATCAAAATATGTAAAATCCCAAAAATATGATCAGAGCACATCTTGACACTAAATATGTCACACAGTATCTGAGCTAAATCTGTCCTTGGGATTTTTATGTGATTCCAAACATTTGTTCTTTAATTTTATAAGCATTTGTTTCTTTCTCTTACAATTTTTAAAGTTCTCAGTGATATCAAGAATGGTCAGTGTTTACTAGAACTCATCAATGAATTAAATGCTGTCTAATATTAAATGTAAAATTGGCATGTTAATTTTCTTATTCAGTTAGAGTCTGGCAGTTCATTTCTAGTTATCATGCACCAAAATGTTAGTTCCATTCATATATCAATTTGATAAATCCCATATTTACCTATACACAAGAGTGCAGAAGTAAAGAGTGCAATTTTACTTTTGCATGCAAAAGTAAAATTGATTGTCTCACTCAAGGTAATAACTACATCATATGAAAAGGAAAGGTGTTGAAGTGTATGTGTGTGTGTGTGTGTGTGTGTGTGTGTGTGATTTTCAAGTCGTACTTTTTTGTGAAAGTATCATAACTAAAACACTTATTTTTTCAGTGTGTCAACACACACTCATATACCTGTGCTTCTTTACTGACTCATTTGCTAAGAATTTTTTTTTTTTTTTTTTTTTTTTGTGGCACGCGGGCCTCTCACTGTTGTGGCCTCTCCCATTGCAGAGAAGAGGCTCCGGATGCGCAGGTTCAGTGGCCATGGCTCACAGGCCCAGCCGCTCCGCGGCATGTGGGATCCTCCCAGACGGGGCACAAACCCGTGTCCCCCGCATCGGCAGTCGGACTCCCAACCACTGCGCCACCAGGGAAGCCTTGCTAAGAATTTTAAGTTGACATTCTAAAGCAAACAAAGACATGGGGAATGAGCACTGGGCTCGGGGGGTGGGGGTGGGGGTGGGGGGCAGTGAGCTACAAGAGAGACATTTTGTAATTTCAAGTTGTAAGTCACGGCACCACCCCAATTTTCATAAATATAATACTGATATTCAGTATTGGTTTAACTGTTTAGAATACGGAGCATTTTTAAACTAGTTTGGTGGATCATTAATGTCTTTGTTTAAATTAACTCAATTTAAAAATGAAAAATATCTAAAAATCAGTTATCTTGTGAGGAGTTACATTATAAAAGTTGGAAGCAGGGATCCAAGAGCCAGACTGCCAGGGTTCCCATCCAGCTTCACTGACTCACAAGCCCTGTGCTATTATTCAGTCTACTGTTTCTTTCTATTCCTTAGTTTCCTCTTCTATAAAATGAAATGATTGTACTATTATTGAGTTAATGTGAGGATTCAATTAGTTAAATCAGGTGAAATACTTAGAACAGGTCCTGGCAGATAGTAACTGCTATTATTATTAACTT